GATATCCCATTGAATCAAAAACAATGGCTTTTGCACTTTAACCCACACATTACCTTTTTGGTTTTTTATTTTAATAAATAATAAAACAATAAGTAAAAAAAAATATAGCATCGAAAATTTTTTTTTAAGGCGCAAAACATGCAAAATGTAATTTTTACACCCTACAGCACTTGTGGTGCAGGATATATCAACTTAGTACGTAGGTCGTATGTAACAGACAGAAGGGCTTAAGATAGACCCATCTTTTATTATATCGATCTATTCAGAATGATAATCTGACTTGAGTTAATCTTGTCTGTCCGTTTGTCCGTTTGATTTCTGTCCCTGTAAACTTGTGTTCGAGCTGCACCTCGCAATTTTCGAGATATTTCGATGGAACTTGGTACGGAGGAATGTTTTGATCGAAGGACGGACGCTATTGGTTCGGATCCGTCCATTTTTTCGACCACTCTCCACATAAAGCCCTATTCTGAAAAGTCGTTATATGGAATAAAATTGCAATTTTCAAAATTTGTCAGCAAAAGTGGCTAAATAGTAGTATTCCGACCTTCTAAATTAGTATGAAAACTTCGGATCGGCTGGGGCCATTTTTTGAATCCCCTCTCATATAAAGAAAACTGAAGTTCAGTGAAGTATGACAAACAAATCTGATTTTCAATGCTTCCTGATGAAAACCAAATCATGATTTAAATCAATTTAAGTTAAAAAATTTAACATTACGAAATTTGAAACATCTCGGCTTTTGAATTCTACCGTTCAAAAGGTTTTTCACAAAAATTAAGCCTTTTTTTTGCAAAGTGGTGTAATTCTTAATACTCCCGTTATAGGAAATTCATATAAAAGAAGTGAGAACATTAGCGTCGGGCTAGGCCGACTAATCAATACCCTACACAACATTGTCTAACACAGTTCTTCCTTTTGCCATAAAACTTAGGAAGGACTTTGCTAATATTCTCATGACCATTTTCTAGACCGAAAGAAGAAATTCTTTTTATTATAATCTTTAAATTTTTAATTGTATTTTCTAAAAGAAACAAACGTTGCGCCTACATTAATGCATGACTTGCAACTTCACCTGCATATGGCATGCACATCGCCATTGCTTAATCTCTCTGTTAAATTCTATGAACGATGTTAAATGTCACAGTTCAAACGATATTTTCCATAGAAATATATATAGCTCCCAAACACTAGTCGGATGCCTACACATATAAAAGAAAAAACTCTCATTCATTTTTTTACATTTCGCTTATATGTAGTTTCGCTGCCTTCTGATAGATTACATATTGCAAACCAAGTTGGAAGCTGTATGTGACTGATATGTGACTTCTGTACAAACATTAATTTATTTTAAAATTTTTTCCAAAAATAGAACGAATATTTATCCTCGTGACGTCTTAGGATAGCATAAATGAATGACTTTACCTATTTACAAAATTTAGTTTAATGAAAACACAAAAGTCATACAATTAGTAACTGTGACACCTACATAGAAACGATCCAAAGCGAGATTTAACTGCACGTACACTATAACGAATCACACTATTCGTTTCCTGAAATTCTAGTATAAGAAAGTGATAATAATGTCAGTGTATTGCACCATAGTATCAAAAAAAAAAAAAAAACCGAAACGTCTGCAAAAAATGATTTATAGATGGGCCTATGTAAAAAATTTTAAAGTGGGCTAACCCTAAATAGAATTGGGAACATTTTTTTTTTTTTTTTATTTAAACTGGAAAATAAAGAGAAGATCCATTCTTATCCATCAGATATGCATCTTGTTTTAACTTTCAAACAACAATTTTGTAGAACTTAACAGCACAGTAACGCAAGCTTATATGGACTCCGTATTTTTATTCACGAACCAATTTTCTGACTTAAACGATTTATGTAATGAGTCCACATTTGTTATGGATACAGTTTTCAAGGCGCAATTACATTTTCAGTTGATAGGTGGACATAGAGACAACGCTAAATCGATTCACCATTCATAAGAATAGTATTGCACTGAGCAAACAGTCAAATATTTCCTAATCGCGCGGGCTTATAGGGCATATGGCATATGCATAACTCATCGGCTATTGAAAATATTGGCATGGAATGCGACAGAGACGTCGATTAGGTGGTTTCCAAACTAAGAAAAAAACTACTTGTAAAAAAAGCTTGCAATTTTTTAACACTTAATTTCTTTATACGATGTGGCCTAGAATTCGTTGCGTATATGACGAATGCACAGATCTATGGTATCCATAAAAGAAAACAATTAAGAATGCTAAAGTCAAGCAAAGCCGTCCGTTAGATAGCTTACGTCGCCTCGCCTAATACTGTCGTTCACTGATTTTCTTAATAATACATATATATATATAAATACATTATTTTTATGAAAGCGCTCATCTGGGCTATATTCAAATGTTAACGTGGTCTAGATTTAGTAAACGTAATTTACATGTCAAAGATTTCATTATTTCCCAGTTGACGTTCGTGGTAACAAATCACAAGTTAGACTTTGTCGCCATAGAAGGGTGTGCTTTCATGAAAGCTCCTTTATATGGTGTGGCCTAAGAAGTAGATATAATTGATACAAATTCCTTATGATTTATTCGCTAAAGACCAATTTTCGTCCTGAAATCTTAAAAAAACGAGCATAAAAGGCATAGCTTCCATTAGAGCTCTTATATGGATTAGAATCCAAAAAATAGACCACCGTGATCCACATTCGGTGGCGTTACTTTTTAGGTGAAATTATTTTTACGAGCGAATTTTCATCAAGAAATATTGAAAATTCGGTTTTTTTCATTATGTAAAGGCTTAAGTTCTGGAGGAGTGTCAAGAGATTCAAAATAATGCCCCATTCCATCTAAAGTTTTCACACCGATCTAGAATGGCGAAATACTATTACCAAGCGTTTTTTACCGCAAAATTGTAAAAATGACATTATTTTTTCATATAGTGACTTAACAAAATAGGGCGTTAGGCATAGGGACTCTTAGCAATAAGTCGTCGTTATTGGGCCAAAACTAATCAATGTACTAAATTTCATCAAAATTTCTCGAACATTGCGAGCTCTAGATTAAACACAAGAATACAAGGGTAGACATCAGACGGACAGACGAACAGCCAAGAAAGGCAATCATTTTCTGCATATACAAGTCTATAATACAAGTCTATTTCAAGTCCTTTTGGGTTTTACATAAGTTCGGGTAAACTAAATATACCTTGCCCCTTGTCGAATGTTATAGGGTGTAACTAGGGATATGCATATTATTGCGTCAGATAATATGTGTTGAAAGACCGCCTTCAAATTATTGGGTCTGTTTGTGTACTTGTTTTATATCAAACAATCAACAACTTGTAATTACTTGATTTTTGACAAACTGAAATTGTTGCTGATTTCGCCTCATTTTCAGCGAGAGCATGAGAATGTGGGGAAGTCGTTAAATACACTGTTGTTTGTTAGTCTTCAGAATCAGACACATACAAAGTCAATTGAAAAATTTTAATGTTTATAATAACCAAACTGAAATAAGAACAAAACCAAAACATTGTTGTTTGAAATAAAAATATTACATGAAATATATGTTTATAAGAGTGTTTCTATACAATTTTTATCTTTCGCTTTTACTTGAAGTGTCTGCTTAAGTTAAGTTGGAATAATATGCTTAAACGAAATGCAATCTATGTTTATATATTTATGCGCGTGCATAGATATAAATAAGTACGTATGCAAGCAATAGGAATGAAAGATATATGCATGCTTTTATGCATGCACATATGTGTTGAAAAGTTCGAATGTGTGTTTTAGTGTAAAAGCTTAATATATTTGCTTTGTTTCTTATTGCAAAGAGCAAAACTTTAAATATTTCCGCTCCTACTTGCAGTTTTCTGTTTTCTGTCGTTTTTTTTTTTTTTTTTATTTTTGCTTTTGCTTTTGCTTTCCGTTGAACATTTACAAGTCCATATCCCCGCAACCAACACTTGTCTAAATAAAAAAATCAAAAAAAAAAAAAATAAAAAAAAATTTTTTTTTAGGTTTGTGTGTGCATAGCTAGCACATGTGTAAAACAGAAAACTATATGTGCAAGTGGAAGTCAGTTGTTCGCTTTGGTTGCTTGCTTGCCTGTCTGTTTGGTTTTTTAATGCACTTTAAACAATCTAAGGCGACAACTGGCGGCATTTCTTTTTTTTTTTATAGTGAATTTATAATAACGACTTGTTATACGATGACTTGCTGATTATATATGTACAAGTATTATACCCTATATGCACTTTTAAATTTACACATAAATACATATCTACATATATAGAGGGCCCGTAAAAGTTTATAAACTATATTTAATAGTTTCATTTTATTATAAATATATACGAGCAAGTAAACGCAAAGAGATATACTTAACATACGTATGCACATTGTATATATGTATTCGGTACTGTAGTGTTTTTGTTTTTCTTTTTTTTTTTCTTTTTTTTTTTCTTCTTTTTTACGTTCATATATAAGTGAACGTCTCACTTATACCGTGATACGGCGAAAAAAACCACATTTGCGATTTTCTGATATTTTATAACATGATTTTATACCCATACGACGACTTTAAGTACACGTATTGTATGTATGTATGTGGTATACAGGCATACTTGTACGTCAAAATTTATTTATCGTTATAAAGAGAGACAAGTAATAGTCTTTCTCTCTCTGGTTCTCTAACTGTGCAACAGCCAGCGTAGCTCATAAAAATAGCTGACTTGCTTCTACCGATTTCAGTTGTGTTTAGTCGCTGCTAACAGCACTTTCTGCGCTTTCTGTTATTTAATATAAAGGTTGATAAAAAGCTTAAAAAAGTTTAAATTCTAGTTCGGTAAAATACAACATTACAATAGAAGATAACGCGGAAAATTTTTTACATTGTGGAAGTTGTCTCTCTAAGTAAATGAAAGAGAAAAGTTTTCTAATTTTTCATTTGTACAAAAAAAAAGAAAAATTAACAAAACATTTTTTGTGTGCAACTTATTAAAAAAAAAATAAATAAATAAATAAAAATCTAAAATTATTTAATTTATAAAATAATAATAAACAGTAAAAGTGGTTATTAGAGGCCAAATAGTGTTGGGAGAAAATATTTACAAATAAAAGGATTATACGAGCTGGGTGACTGGCGACGCTTGCGAGACGCATACAACAAGAGTTCAGCTAAAGCAATCAGTTATTTGATTACAAAAAGGAGTTAAACGATATAAGACTGTGTTTTTCATAAAATATAAGGTAAAAAAATTTAAGAAAAACATTTCAAAACATTGATTATTTTTGATATGGTTTACATTAATACATGCAAGTGCAAGAAGAAGAACACTAATTGAGTTATTGGCAACTTTGATATGATAATGTGTTGTGCTCTCTATTATTTTGAACAAAAATCCAATAAGAAAAAAGAAAACTAATGTTATGAAAGCCAATCTCAGTAGTTATTATTAAAGAAAAATATCTCATGCGATATTCGATAACATTTGCGAAATATGTCCAGCTCTAGCTCATTAAAATATTTTTATTAACATTTATTATTATTAAGGTTTTGTGGTTATCGAAAACCTTGTTTTATTATTATTAAGACATAATAATAATAATAATAATAATAAATGTTTTGTTTCTTTTAAAATTGTTTATTTAATTAATTTTTTTTTTTTTCGTTACAATTAAGGTCATTTTTGTTGAAATTTTTTTGCTAATTAATTTCATTGCAAGAAAAAAAATAAAAACAATATCTTCAATTAATTGCATTGAAAATATTTGTATTATAAATAATATGAACGCAGGCAATTAATTTATAGAGTTGCATGTTGTTAAGCTTTATTGCAGCTGCATATTACTTCATTAGTTAATTGCAAAAATATGTATATGGCGAAACGTGTCTTTTATTATTCTCCAAAAGCATTATTGTTGTTTTCGTTTTTTTTTTGCTTCTGTTTTGTTTTTATTTCTATAAATATTTTATCTGTTTTTAATTTCTTTTTGTCTACAAATCTTTAGATTTTTTTTGTTATTTTTATAAATTGCAAGAATTCCGACGAAAAAATTGAAATACAGAGAGTCCACGGAGCGAATGAATAATTTGGCGACAATCAGTTTTATTAGCTTATTGGCATACACAGTGAATTGTGAATGGTCTTCTAAAATAGGCCGCGAAATTTATAAACCTACCAATCAGTATAGGTTCTCATTCTTATGTTGTTTTAAGATCAGATTCTTAAGCAAATCGAAACTTATTATAATAACAACAATTGTTTTATTAGTACGTTTGGCCCAGGACTTGCAGTCCGTCACCGAAGTCTTTTTGAAATTTTTCCCTCAAGCCATGAATAATAGATTTTAAGGTTCCGTTACGTTACTGAAGAATGGATTTTTAATAAAATATCTTCTTATTTTGCTTAATGGACTAATTTTTCAAGCCCAGTACGTTGCAGGCATACGCCAATAACCAAAAATGTTGTAGAGAAAGAAATTCAGTGAATCTCTTTTTTATCACAAATCGTACCGTTTTAGTGGTCTTCCGATTTTTATTCTAGACGAACTATTTCGCACTTTTTTAATTGCTTTATCTTCTTCAATTTTTTTCTTCATAATCTATTACAATTACTTATACTAATGATATTTCGTCTTTAGAACTGCTAGTTTCCTGTTTTATGAATATTGCATCAGTTCATTGTACAAATGCATTAAAAAAAGCGCAAAAGACGTGCGCACTATTTCTTATTGCAAGAGGTACAGCTGGTGACAAAACAAATGCAAGCATATCTATAATAAATGTGACTAATGATTAAATTTGATTGCACTTGTCGTTAAATGTTCAATTCCTATTTAAAACAAAAAAGGGCCGTAATTTCGTTGCTTGCAGCGAAGGCCGTTCGGTGAATTTGCAGGATCAACTTTTAGTGAAGATTCTTGTTGTCGACTGCAGAAAGGTTTTTGCTAAATCATGTGAAAGGAAACGCGATTTAAGCAACGAAATGAAGTTGAAGAACGTGAAATGCGACTCAATAAGTTCGTAGGGTGACTTACAGAAAACGATGGTTAGTGACGAATTTTTATGATTTGTAAATAATGTGAAATGTATCGAAAATTTGTTTATTATCTATAAAATCGCGTAAAGAAATATATCTTCAGAGGACTATTTGATTTTTCTGAGCTCGACATTTCGAAATAGCCGAGAGTTTAGCTTTTTATCTTAAATCTTGGACTTTAGCTTTTTATCTTAAAAATGGGTCCATCTTTCCGGAGTTGAAAAAATCATTGGTGAGGGAGTCTCAAACATTCTTTGAAGTATACATTTACGAGCAACATACATTTCTAAGTTGAATTCATCCATCCTCACTTCCCCCGAACGACAGCTTTCGCTTTGTTCATATATTCTCGGACTCAAGGATTAAAGTTAAAATTGGCTATCAACACAACAGCAACACTACAACGTTTAAAATAACTGAAAACGTTAATCTTTATCAAATCCATCTTATAGTTTCGTTCTTCAGATATCGGACTATTTGCAATGATCATAAAAAGTTTATGAAAAGTTTGATGACTACGTCTTTTAAAATTTCTCAGCTAACAAAAAGCTGCGAATACTATAGAAGAAAAGAAAGTTATTGAAAAAATTCAAAAAAAAAAAAAAAAAAAAATTTCTTAACTTAAATTCTAAAAATATATTTAATACGTATATGAAAAAATATTTTTAAAAATTTTCTATATACCGAATCAGTTAATGTGTTTTGATTATAAATGTTCTAAAATAAACTTAATTTCTCATTAATAATTAAAAAAAAAAAAAAAAAAAAATGAATGATTTGAATTGTATAACAAGATATAATATATCTAAAAATGAATCATTTATTATATGAAATAATCAATGGAGAGAAATTGTGCAAAGCAAGACAAGCCTCTTTACTAATCTAAACTATTTTTATAAAAACAAGCAAAAAAAAAAAAAAAATACAATTAAAAAAATGCAATTAATATGCGATAAACAAATATTTCTCACTATAATATACATAAATAAATAAATAATTCTCGTACCTTAATTTATGCAATTGTATAATAGATATATAGAGTGTAATACAGTAACAATATGTGTGCGTATGTTTGTATGCATATGCGCGCGCGCGTGCGTGTGTGTGTGTGTGTGTGTGTGTGTGTGTGTGACTGTACGTAATACTAATTTTTTGTTTTTTCATACGACACCTGGTAACTTATTATAATTTTAGTTGCTAGATTAACCGCAAGAGAACTTTTGATCTTGGGAATCGACTCTTAATGAGTGAAAGGCTAAGTAGAACAGTTAAGAAAGCTCTGGAATGTAATAATTAAGAAAAGACACCTTCGCTTTAAAAAGCAACCTCGAATATAGAGTAATAAAAAGTCGTAAATTTTTTTTTTTTTTTTTTTTTTAGTTGTACCTGTTTCAGTTATTCCGCACAAAACTGATTAAGAAGCTTCGAATATGTGCATGTACGTGATGTAGATGCAGTCACATTTAAAAATTTATAAAATTGAAAAAAAAAGAAAAGAAAATAAGAAGAGTATGGTGGGACAGGGTCCACCATCACATATCCTACACTACTTCGCTTAATGCAGTTCCCTTGATATAGCACTTTCCAAAATAATGGAAAGTGGTCGAAAAGGCCATTCGACCCGTAACCATTTTCAAAAGCATTCTTTCTTAAGCTAATACACGTCTGCTTACCAAATTTCAATAACATACATCAAGAATTATGGCCCGTAGGGTGAAGACAAGAAAACAAGACGGACGGACAAACTTGGATGGATTCAGAAACTAACTATGAAGGTGAGTCTATTTTAATCCCTTCTGAATGCTGCATACACCCGCACCAACTTAATATATCACTGAACCACAAGTATAGCTTGCTCCACAAACTGGTTTAGAGTACGAAGAAATGATTTCTTTTTAAATTTTTTTATCGTCACAAAATATGAGCATCATCACTGAGCTGTGACAGTTGTGAAGATGTTCTGTTATGAAGGAAGTTCGAATCAATGATTTTCTTCAAAATATTCATATTTGCATAATTTTTTCTTGTCTGTCTTTTGCGTTGTTGTCTCTTCTTTATCGCAACGTGTGGCCTTAAATTTGAAGCTTTTAAGAAATAAACATACATACGAACATAAGTCGGCTAATATATCATTTTATCTTTCAGATATTTAAAGGCTAATAATAATAAAAGCTAATGATTCATATGGAAATTAAAGTCATTAATCATTTTGTGGAAACAAAAGGCTTTAAAATAAAACTGGGTGAAAGCAAGAGAAAAAAAAAAAGAAAAGATTATAAAAATTAAGTAAAAGATTAAGTATGCCCATGGGACGAATGGGACGAATTTTTTCTTTTACCCAACATTAGCCTGCATTCCAATGTGAAATATTTTCAATAAACCATTTCGTCACTTAAGCGGCTATCTACACAGGCAAAAAACTGGATAAATAATATAAGATAGTGCAACTAGTACAATTTAAATAATATTACCATGTAAACTACGGGGACGTAAAGCTTCGGATAGCTAATTAGGTAGTTGGACAAAATTCGTACACAAGCTGAGTCAGTTTTAGGTACGACGCGCACGCTTTTTGGAACTTTAAGCTAACACTTGGGGCAAGTAGGTAAGAATTGCCATTTACCAAATTAGTGGTCGCAAGTCCACAGCTCAGGGCGGTAAAGTTTACCTTGATTGATTGGACCCAAAGCCATTGCGCCGCGGCCGTCATCTCTCCATTTCTTTTTTTTTTTTTTTCTCACTCATTTCTGATTGTCATTGTGCGTAGTGGATATCCCCTAAGCGATTAATCGCATGAGAGAAAAACAAATTCACCGATGAATTTATCATAACTTCACAGCAATAAAATAACTGTATTTTATTAGCTTTATAAACGAGTAAGTAATCGTTTGCAAATTGACTTCACTTCAGCAGGATCAACAGAAACGGCAAAAGACTTGAAAAAGTTGTTGTTATACCGTTATTCTATAATCATAAATTTATCCAACTTTCAAAGATCAGATGTAAAGAAATTTATAAGAAAACATAATCGTTAGCAATACAATGAGAATCGTGAGAATATTTAATTCCACAAAAACTATGTGCATAGGCTGCTGAACAACGATCGGAATTATTAATAAAGCCACGGTACGGATCTCTAAAAAGAAACTTGATTAGAAAATTCCCACGCAATATAGTTTCAAGCGACCTTTAGATGATCTGATTGGCGGAGTTTTGACGAACTTATCTATGGGAAACTTTTCCCCAATCTTAACAATCACATTATCACAATTGGCCAGAGATAAATAGATTTTAATATACGCATGTGAAGAAAGTCGGTAAAATAGATTCATTTTTTTTATTTGTTTCTTTACTTACGAAACCGAAATCCCACAGACTATGATAAAATGCTCTAAAGGGGAATTTACTTTTCGCATTAGTGCTGTTGTGTTTATTTCATTTTTTTTCTTTTTTTTCATTTTAACAAAATTCTTTAAATACCGGCACATTTTTGTCAATTAAACTAAACAAAAAAAAAAAAAAAACGATGATTAACTAATTAAAAGTAAAATGAAAAATTTGCCAAGAGAAGAATTACATAAGTTGCGTTCTTCAACTTCCTTGATTTGATAAATTCTTAGTTTTTCTTTTTTTTTAAATGAAATTTTAACACCTTTAAATTAAATGTATTTCGGTTTTCTTATCTTTTTTTTTTTTCTTCTTTTTTTAAAATTCTTTTTTTAGTACCAACAACAAATATGTCTCTAGCTAGTGTGCATGGACCACAGTTTACTGATATCTGCAGTCCACTCGGGTAAGTGTAAGAAAATTTTTTTTTTAAAAATTTTCAAAATTAAAAATAATTGTATATAAATAATATATATATATATATATGTATGTAAACAAGAAACAAGAAATTTTTTCCCGACCTTAATAAAGCATCGACTTTCATTATTATTTTATGAATTTCCTAATAAAATGAAATGACTTTTGATGATTTTTTATTCCTTCATTATTAAAACAAAAATTATTCATAACATTTTATTGCTAAATAATAATAACAGTTAAATAAACAAACTCAAAGCGCAAAGTGAATCAAAGTCTGAAACGCGTCAATGCAATGAAAGTTAAATGGCAGAGCGGTATAAGTGCATTATTTGAATATTTTACTATATTTGATTAAAGTTAAAATCCATCACAAGTATTAGCTGAAGGGTTGCAATTGCAAACACTTCCTGTAAGAGTTTCGCTTTATATGACCGAATTTCTTCACACTCATGAAAAGTCACGATAACACAACTTATCACGACGTCCATATTGTTGGTAGCTTCATTTGGTTGGAACAGACATTAAGTACAGTGCACTTTCGCCATGTAAATTCAGCTTTATGTTTGATGTTCATGGTTCTCCTACTCTGCTACATATTTTTTTTGGGCTTTGGATATTGTAATGGATTCATCATTTATAAGGGCTTAGTAATACCATCCTTCAAATTAAACAGGAATAGGCGAATATTCCCGCAAATGGATCTTATTTGGCACAAGGGATGTCCGTTTTGTAGATTGGGGAGGAGTGTCAGTGAGCCAAAAATATAGAACCCCTTCCACAAAATTTCCTGAACTAGGCACGCACATCGGTCTAATACGCCGTCTATTCTCCTAAAGTTGCACCTTCGAGTTGCCTTCGAATTTAGTGCAGTCAATAGTTTTCTATATAGACAGACAGGAAGGACAGAGACAGCATCGTTGCATAGAAGTAATCTTCAATATTTCAATCAATATTGCCTATGATAAATTATGCAAATATTCTTATATATCGTTATTAGCCTGTAGCCTGCTAATAATCACTTACTACCTTTTGATTTTTTATATGGCAACTTGTACCCAAATATTGGATGAATTAACTTAAAATGATTTATTATTACAGATGTATATATATTTTAAGTTATACTATTATTCGTCTGATCGATACGTTAAATCACATTTTTCTTATTAAAAATCATTCATCATTAAGAGTCATATCATGTCGCGGACAGATTTCAGACAATTATCATATTGTAGCTTGAAAGCTAAGGTCCGGTTTTACCTTGTTGTGTTACATTGGAAGGGAAATTTCATTAAAAAATCAGCGAGAAGCGATTTATTTTAAATGACATTTAAGGCTAATAAAGATACTGAATGTTTTCGTTTTTAATAACTTTGTCTCTAGTAACAGAATGTTGTCCGTTAGTCATACCTTTAATGGTTTTCTCTAAAAATATGAAATGCGCTTGAAATTAACTTCTATATATAAAAACAACAAAGGGTTATTAAACTTGGCTAAAGATTAAATGCGCAAAATTTGAAAACGTTTTTTCGTCCCGTCCCCCCGCATAATGCGTTCCTTTTCCCGTTCTTTTCTTGATTTATTGGGGTATTAAGCAAAAATATAATAATTGTTTTATTAAATTATTTTTGTGAATAACACCTTTTGTCTACAATTGACTTTTTTTTAGACGCAGTAGTATTAGTATGTCGTCATCATTGTCGGATTTGGTGGGTAGTCCATTGGAGATATCCGTTGATAATGTTTTAACCATTGAAGAGCTCAGACAACATATGGGCTCATGTTTTACTTGCGGTGTATCATGGACGGATGATCACGTCTCGTTGGATTGCAGTGAATGCGGTGGCTATAGTGTGGAAAGACCTTGCCCTTTATGTGATGGCCAATGCGGTGTACAATGGAAACGTGATTTTACTATGGTACAAATTAAATATGAAATATTTATAAAAATTAACGGAATAAATTATTCATTAAATAATTTCTATTATAGTCTCACGCAACTGGCAAAGCACGTTGGTTGGGTGTTTGTCCCAGTTATCCGGAAGCTGCTGCAGCCGCCGTTAACAATGTTGCCAATACCGCGGCCAGCTGTGCTGCCGCCGCAGCTACTCAGATGCGTTTAGCTACCGAACTATGCGCCCGCCTCGAGCAATTGTCGGCCTCAGCGAGTTCAGCTTCAACTCATATATGATTCCTTTAACCATATAGTGATAGTTGTGCAGAGTTCTTAGCCGTTGCCGCCGCCGCCACCACCACCACCGCCTCTCAAGCAATCGCTAACTGACAGACTGACTGAATGGCTGGATTGAATGTTTGCTTTTATCAATGCCCTGTCATTTTTTCCGAGTAAGCCATTCGTGTGTTTATTCTCTACTCGTTCAAAGAAAATGGGGGGGCAGGTGTTCTTTAATACAGTTCTCTGTGTGATCTGCAGCTCAATATAATTCATGATGATTTATTTTATACATTTAAGAATTTAATTTAAGAGAATCACTTTTTCTTTTCTTTTTTTTTTTTGTTTTTGTTTTTTATTTTAAATCGTTTAGTTAATTTTAAAATTCTTCTTATTTAAATTTTTGAAAAACACAATTTAAGAATAATAACAAAGTGCAAAAAGAAATCGGTGATAATTAACAATTATCAGCACAGTTTTCTTTTTGTCTGTAGTGAATGTGTTGTGCAAAAAAAAAATTAAATAAAAAAAAAAATAAAAAACGTAAAATTTAACACAAATGACTGCTAAACATAAACTGTGCTTTAAGGTTTAAAAAAGTAAAGACTATCGCTTTAAGTTGTATAGTGAAAATGATATTTAAACAACAACAAAACAAAAAAAAACAAAAAAAACAAAATAACAAAGATAAGAGGGAAACAGTTAAAATATTTATAGGACATTTAAAATAAGTTTATGTTATAAAATTTGGAAAATTTTTGACTTTATTTAACTCTCTTTTCGACTTTCCATTCTAAATTCTTGTCTCTTGGAAAAAATCTGCTTAATCCAGTACTTAAATTTTCTTTATTAAGAATTTACTATTTAATTTTTTTTTTTTTTTTTAAAAAAAAAAAAAAAAAATTTTAAAAAATTTTTAATTATATAATTTTTTTAAATAAAATTTTTATAAAATAAAAAAAAAAAAAAAAAAAGATCTATTTCTTTTTGTGAATGTTAAAAATTTGAGTTGAATGTGTATTCAATTTGTTTTCAATAAAAATTATATATTATTTTTTTTTATTTGAATAAAACCTTAAAAATATTTGTATTTATTGAGAAAAAAAAAAATTGTATGTCAAAGAAATTATGATGATTACTACACCCTACACACTTGTGGTATAAGAAGGATTTGAGAGAGAGTCGTGTTTTTTTTACCGATCGGTGCGGAAAATCATTCTAAATCTGAAGCTTGTCTATCCATCAGTCCGTCTGATTTCTATCCATGATATGAGGTTTATTCACTGTTTATTATACCCATCTATTCAGAATCACTTTGATGTAAGCTTGTTTGTCCGTCTGTCCAATTTGCATTTATGCATTCATCCTATATGACCACAACTTTTGAGATATTTTGATAAAAATTGGTACAAGTCGAAAGTTATTGAAAGTGATTCGGTTTGGACCAATTTTTCGACCACTTCCCAGATGGCGCCTTACTTTCAAAAATCGCTTTATGAATAAGTATAGCTCCGCGGTCCACTACAGTGTTTTTATTTCTTTTGTACTGACCAATTTGCACTTTCTTTGTAATGAGAGTGACGTGTTCAGTGCTGATTATGTTTCAACGATTTTCAACTTATCCCTGGACTCTCTTCTTAAGCAAAAACATTATTTCTTATAAGATTGATTGATTCTTTGAGTCTGTTAGGTGCTAAACTCAAAAATTTATACCTAAACTCATTTTACAAAGAACGTATCAAATAGGTGGTGTTTTTCAATGTGTAGTGACATCAGTCTAATTGATGGATTTTGATTTTTACGTACAGCTAGTGATTTTAATAAAACTGGGCAACATATACGTTATGTTGATCGAGAAACAAATGAAGCGATTAAAAATGGAGGATACCTGTAAATTGTCAGACGAAACTCAACCACAAAGAAATTATGAAATTATTGTGATTATACCCTACATCAATCGTGGTATAACAGTAGATTAGTTTTCTGTGGATGTGCATGACTCCCAGAAGGACTTGAGTTGGATTCATGTTTTATTATATGAATCGATTCAACAAATGATTCTGGATCTGAAGGATTGCCTGCAAGCCTATCTGTCTGATTACTGTCCACAATTTGAGAGAGACTCACCTTTTAATTATACCGGTCTGAATCATATCCCATCTGAATATGAATTTTTGTCTGTCCGTCCATCTGATTACTGTCCACAATTTGAGAGAGACTCACCTTTTATTGTATTGATCGAATTGGAAAGTGATTCTGGTGTCAGTTTACAATTTTCCTTATCGAGCAAACTCGATATCGAATTTTTATTTTGAGTTGACGGTACTCATCGTTCGTCGATGGGTATAATAAGTATTTACATGGCAAAAATGTCCAATCCTTGATATTTAGTCATTTGTATGGGAATGTAAGTATGTTCTCGTATATATATATATATATATATTTACTTTATTGCGTATATTATGTTTTTGTCTCTATTTATATACATTTCTTGTGGATTTTTTGTTGTCTTCGCTCTTGTCATTAGAAGCTTTCAATTGGCGTGAAGCGTAGCCCAGACAACAACCTAGTGGAAACATTACTAAAAGGAGAATCAAACAATGTTGTATGACCTCAAACTGTATGAACATGATTTCGAGAAAATGTACTTCGGCAACAGGTCGCGGTGATTCATTTTTTCGCCACAAAAATATAACTGAAATATTTCAGTTCAAAATTACCTGCAAACGAAAACTTGCTTATCTTTGTATGGCCGGAAAAAAGTGTGCTTCCATTCAACGGGATTGTAAAAAAGCTTTTTTTTCTGCTATAAGAAATTCTAATATATAGAACTTTTAACAAAAAAATTCAATTTGCCCCTTTAGTTAAATAAAAGGAAGATCTTAAGGAAGGTTCGGAATGAAAATGTTTCCATCAATAAACTGGTTTCGTCAGCTAACCCAGAAATGTATCTTTGTTCATTTGCTTCGAAATTGAACTCTCTGGTAGAAAACATAAAGAGAAGAATTTCCGCTCGAACTCGAGGGAGGTCTATCAACCAATATTAGGTTTTACAAAATTTTTTCCGGTTTGGTGACTCCTTTCTCTGTAAAATTGTGGTAACTGTTAGCCATTTTCCAGAATTAGTTTTATTCATCGCTTCAATATCTTTCGACCTGTCCTTGTGCGCTCTTATGTCTTAAGATCAAAAAGTACAATACAATAGACAACGCTTCCCATTCTGATGTTTCCCCGAAACTTACCATTCACGTTTACGCTTCAGTTACAACGCTTGCCGCGTTCATTGATTCTGTGGATCTGGGAAGTAGTCGAAAAACTCGTCCGATCCGAATCACTTTCAATAATGTTTGACTTGGACCAAATTTCATCATAATGCTGCATGAATGCATAAATGCAAGATGGACAGAGGGACAAACATGCTTACATCAGCGTGATTCTTAATAGATGGGTATAATAAATAGTGAATCTGCCTCAAATCATGGATAGAAATCAAATTGGACAGATGGACAGATAAGGAGGAAGTTCTATCTACGAACGTGACGACACTAAAGACGATATAATGGCCACAAAAATTATGATCAGGGGTGGATACTGCGAAAACATGGTGTCCCTCTATGCGTAACATTTTACTCGTTACTCCTCGTGTCGAGTATACATTTCAGATATTGTTGCTCTGCAAAGTTTCTTGTCGAAAGTGGCTATATATTTAAATAGCAGCATTTCCGCATTCTAAATTGGTGTGAAAACTTTGAACTGGCTCGGGCAATTTTTTGAAGCCCCCTCTCATATAACGAAAACTAAAGTTCAAGCTTTCAATGCTTTATGATGAAAAGTAGATCAGATTAGTTAGTTAAGATAAAGAAAGATAAACTGTATCAAATTTGGACTATCTAGGCCTATCTTTTCGATCCCGCCCTATGAAAAAAGTTTCACGAAAAATGACCTTCAATAGGGCAGAAAAGTTTACATTTTACTATGTTGGGATGAAGATTAACCCATAGAAGCAATTTGATATAAAAATTAAATCTACAAAATTAGGACCATGTACGCCTACCTTTGTATTCTAACCTACAAATACATTTTCACGAAAATTTTTGTTTTTTAGGTCGAAGAAGTCTACGCAATGTCTAAGTTCTATTATGTTATCATAAAAATTGACCCATAATCGTAATTTAACATAACAATCACCTGCTTTTGGCAACAATCATTCTTATGGAAACTAAGCTTTTACTTGCCAAGGGCCGCATTTTTTACTATACTCTTCCACAATGGTATGTTTATATGAAAACATGGTGTACATTTTGTGTTCATTGGGCAAAAATAAGCATTGTGTTAGACAATGTGGTGTAAGGGATTTAAAAGTCGGCCTAGCCCGACTATAACGCTTTCATTTGTTTTTGTTTTAATGTTACCTGAAGACTTCCGGAAAGCAAATCGCAAAAAAAATGAAAAGAAAATTAAACGATTGACGTTCCTCTAAAGCTTTCAAACACATACTAAATTTTTCTTCCAAAACCAACCAATTCACTCTCGAGTGCCCTTGAATTCAGATAGACAAGCCTCACTATACGATTGTTGTTTGTTTTTGAGTTAATGCATACATTTTCTATCGCTTTCATTCATCGGCGAATCAAATCATTTTCACTTTCCTACAGGTGCAGTGTTCACAAATATTATATGCGGGGTAATACTGTTGTCAAACTACTTAAAACTACGATGAATAAATATATTTTTGATGAAAAGAGTGCAAAAAATTCACTCGAAACGAAAATACTCTTGATTTTTTTTCAAGGATTAGTTTTTCAGCGGAAAAGAGGAAATGTCTGGTTTTTACTGCGACGAATGTTACAAAGTTGAGAGGGAGATTTTTTTAGATTCTCTAGTTCACTAACGAAGTAACATGCATTTGATTTTATTTGTACGGCTTCCCCGAATGAAATATATTATAATACGCAATAAAGGACGTCGGAACAGGAGCGCAGCAATCACATCCTGAAGACCAATTTTTCAACAAATATTCCCTAATGGTTGGTTTGGTGACGCAAGTGTTAGTAGGTATAGGTATATATTACGATAGAGTAGGAATAGTTTAAGCGAAAACATCGATACCATGTGCTGCACAAAATGTAAAAGTTCTTTTTTTTTCTCAGGCCTCAGGAAGCTATGATACTGAGCGATCATAGTGTAAGAACTATGTGTCTAATCAACAGCCTTACCTGTAGTTACGATCAAATACCAATTGAAATCAAAGTGCGATATATGGCACACTGACTTGAATCCGGTCATGCCGACCTCCTAGTTCCGTTTGTGAGTCCCTCTTCGCCCGTCGGTGATGAGTATAAAAAGAACTCACAAGCGATTCAAGGAAACTGATAAATAAATCTGCATTTATATCAAGTAAATTTAGCAGTAGCTAAAGGCTTATTTTCTGCAAGAGGATTTTTAACTAAGGGCGTCCTCAAACTATCTCATCTAGATTTTGTATAATATACTTTTTTCCAAATTTTTATTGAGAAAATATTTCGAGAACTGATCAGAAAAATGTAGCAAGAGATAGCAGACAGACAGAAAACCAGACATATACACAGATAGACATACAAATAGAACTTGATTTAGAAAGTGATTCTAAAACCAGTTGGTTTAATAGAAGATAGGCATAAATGAAATCTTGCTGGATATTCCATATATCAACACAATCATAATATACACTTAACCGAACAGGTCTGGGGACGAAAATTACTCATTCGAATAAACCCGAATGAATGACTTGAACGTGAAATACACTAAACAAACAATATATTGGAAAAAAATATCCCCCATAACTTAATCACAGGTATGTTTTATTTACGTTAGCTTTTGCAACCACAAAATTGTTGCATGACTCTATAGACGCTTTCTTACCACTCGGATTGCCATGCTAAGCGTTACAAGTTTTCGACCGTTTTATTATTAATTTCTCTTTTATTATTTATTAAATACAATTTTGAACATTTATGTGCAAATTCATTGGTCCATTAACAATGTAAAATTAATAATAGAAAAACAAAAAAAAAATATGTATTATTTTTACATACTATTATTATAATAAATAATTGAAATATTTTTACAAATAATTTGGCCGTGATATACAGCACAATAAATTCAAATTTTTGTAGATTGATGTGCGTCTGCGTTTCGGTGGCCAGGAATGCCCATCCAAACCAGCGGGATTACGTTCTAAAATAAAAAGTAAAGGGAAAGAATAAAAGCATTACCACGAATCTTGGTTGCGCATCTCGTGAACTATGCTAGTGATGGAGTTTCATTTAATGCCAAACATCAGGGCGTATGAGTGTGAATGAAGCTCTTCAAATAAATATAAATGATTTTCCATTTTCTTTAAGCTCGAGATATTAGGATGTTCGGAAAGTCAATTCGTTTTCTTTTTTCCACAACAGTGGATTTAATTGCATTTCTTCATAGCCAAATTGACACTTGAGCCTCATTGTCAGCCTTATTTTTGAATAGATTTCTTCGATTTTGCGAAATAGCTTTTGTTTGGCGGCGAAAGCAGCAAAATTTGGCATATTTTAGTTTTTCACTATTGGCAAACTCGAAATGATATTCAATCAAGGAAAATATTGATGAACACGTATGACGAAGAACTCGTATTGACAGAAGATCAGTGCCAAACCGGGTTGACAAAGTTCCATTTCGACAATTTTGATATTGATGGCTAATTGAATGTTATGAAGACAAAATAACGGGATTAACTGTTGCAAAGCAACGAATAAAAATTCGAAAGACCGCTGAGTGATTGTATTTAGCAAATTCGACCGTTCATAATAGTATATAAGAGAAATGCACTTTCATTTTGGGCAAAAATGCTTTTTCCAAATAACCCAATATTTTAAATAATGTGAAGCATAGACATAGAAAGTCAATTGAACTGATTGATTTGTGGCAAGTGTTTGTTATACGATTCAAGAAAGGTGTTTATTACAAATCGCGAATATTGTAAGAGATGGTATGCATTGCTTCTACCTTCGATATAATTGGGGAGCGATTTGCAAAACTTTAGTGTTCTATGATGAGGAGATATTAAGAAAATTTGCAATTCGGAATATCACAAATAGTATAACGAAATCAACATTCATCTCCTCTTAGATGGCAGCTATAGAAATTACCAAAAAATGTCAAGTGTACGTGAAAACCACTTGTTTTTGCATATAAATGCAGTCATTCATACATATTTAATCACACGGGTAGCCGAAAATAAAGGCGATATTTGCATAGAAATAAAAATTTACGGTACTTATATGCGGGCATACAATACACGCATACAATGAAAAAGCGACAAAATAAATAGTAAGTAAGAAAATTTGAATGTTTTCTATGCCGTGGAGGTAATAAAAGGGATACTTTTTTTATTCATTTCATAGTTGAACAGAGTCGTCATATTTTTATACCCATCACCGAAGCACCGAGGGGTATATTCGTTTTGTCCAAACGTCTGCAACGTCGATTAGGAAGGATCAGAGACCCCAAAGACCGCAAAGTGTATATATTCTTGATCAGCGTCAAATTCTAAATCAACTTAACAATATCCGTTTTACTATCTGTCCGTCTGGGCAATGTCTGTTGTAAACATACTACTGGCTGCAAAAATGAAGCTATCGACTTCAAATTTGACAGAAACAGCGGAAGTTCTTGCAAGCAAGTTGGTACTAAAAATGAGCCAAATCGGTTGGAGAACACGCTCACAGCATCACCTAAATTGAGAGTGCTTCTGTTTTTCAAAGGGAATGAAAAATTTGGTTCTGTCTCACACTCATAAACTATAGCAAATAAATGTACAAAAATTCGAACTCGTAGTCTATGAGCGATGCTGTAGCGTTTATACACAAAAATGGAACAACATTGTAGTGGATCAAGGTTTAATTATTTTTTCATTATCTTTATAACGCGCCGGAACAAGTTTCAAATGCGAAGAAAATATAGAAATCTTTGTTGAATGCACCTAAATATGTCCGGCTGTTCGTCTGTCCATCTGTCTGCTTGTGGAACTTTGTAGTATTTGTGGAAAACACTCTGCCGTTCACGAAAATGAACATATCGCCTAAAAATGGGCAAAAAATTTGGAATTGACGTAAACTATTTAAAGGACACGCCTACAACACATGCTCACATGCCTCTACGACAAAAACTTTTATTTTGAAAATAGAAGAAATCGACTGTGGCCAACTTCATGTTATAGAGCATGAGAATTTTGTTCTTTTACTTCTTTTGTCTCCTTTCGGGGTAATGGTGATGGGTATAAAAGATTCGGTTGTTTGAAGCCGCCCAAAACTGAAAACACTATAGTGGGATACGACGATTATTAAAGTGCCGTATATTACTTCGCTTAACACGGTTATTCACACAACGACTTTTCAACATAAAGTGTTACGTCGTCGAAAAACTGCACCGATCCGAACGATTTTCAATAGTGTTCGTCCTTGGGCGAAAACCCATTAGTGTATAAAATATCATCAAAAGATCTCATCAATTGCAGCCTGTAAGTTGAAAGAAAGAAAAGAAGGCGGGCAGATGGATCGACACGTTCAAGTCAAAGCAGGGGGCTATTCTGAATGGATCGGAATAATAAAAGACGGAGCTATCTCAAGTTGTTCTGTGCTTGCATTCTGCAGGTTGAAAAAAGAAAACAAGGCGGACAAGTGGACAGACAAGTTCAAGTCAAAACAAAAATTGATCGGTGTGATAAAAGATGGATCCATCTCAAGTTGTTCTGTCCTTGCAACCAAATTATCACATAGGTAAGCTTTAAAAATGGGAAAGAGGTTTTATGGGACGTTTTTAAAATACATTAAAGGAATTTATTCAATTCTTTCAAGATTGAATATATATATATATATATATATCTTTTTTTTTTTTTGGGTCAACTGTATGACCACGTTGTTGCGAATAAATACTTTTGCATCTACAAGAACAAATTTCAAAGTTGAACGATCATCAGATCGTTCGATTCCGTCTACGTAGTTTTTTGTTCTTCCTTTTACAAACAATTACTTGAGAATCGGATGTAGAATCGACAAATTTTAAATTGTTAGAAAAGTTTACCAGAAAGATAGCCACAAGAGCATTTCACTTGAAGGATGCCTTTAAAATCTCAGCACAATCGAAAGGAAATTGAAGAAAACAATTGGTTTCAATAACAACTCACTTGAATCTTAAAAACCCTAAACGTTTATGAAAGTTTTCATTTCATCTCTAATCTGCGATGCTTGCCTAACTGATCCAGTGATTTTTGACAAAGCCATGAGCTTTGCAGGATTGTGTTTAACATATTTTTCTTCTTCAGTTGCTTTGGGTACTTGCCAAGTTATCCACTATAACAAGGTTTTACGATTATACTCAGAGTTTGTGTTTATCTATATTTTTAAAATTTCGTCCTCAACGCTATAACAGATCAATTTATTCAATATTTTTTAAGTATATAAGCAATTCATCGTTTATGGTTTAGTATAATCTTCCAAACTGGAATCATTTCTACATACAGTGGCTCTTCTGCCTACTCTGTCGCTGCTCTTTTAACAGTGCTGCGTCGTTTTGCTTCTTCGCATATTCGTGACAGCTATAGCACACTATTCTGATTAATGCCTAAACTTTTGCTATGGATGCAATTTCCTGAATTTTCCATTGTTTGTTGGTACAGAATTTCCGCACATAACTAATACAAAGTGCTAAAGAGACAACTCTTTTAATGAGTGAATGTGTATCTCTGCAAGTGCTTTGCATGATACTAAGTTAGTTCTCATAAACTTGAAGCTGAACATTGTATTGTAAATATAGTTCCTCTGATCGACCTGCGGTTTCAACACAATAATACATGGACAGACATTAGATGGACATACGTAACTGAATTGCTGCTGAGCATGATTTTGAATGTGACTGATATAGTAAGTGATGGGTCTGCTTTACATCACTGTGCTTGTTACATACAATCTCACGAACGTAATAAAAGCGGTAATAAAAGCGGCATAGAGTGCAATAATATGTACTGTGGAATATCAACAATCATGAACATACAACACATTTTATTGCACATTGCCCGCTAATTTAATGCCAATTGATTTAACAAAGACTAATTGATTGAGATAAAATCAGGAAGTTCCAGTCTCCCTTGTACCATTGTTTTTAATTTATAAACTTTCATCAGTTTTTTCGGATACAATTTAGTCCATTCACTACCAGACCGTATCTGCGAGGATTTTATTTATTAATGTAAACGTATAGCGCAAACATGATATATCTCGAAATCAGAAATTTTGTGCGCATTCACTTACTACGACGTGTATCATAGTTAGTTGCGAATAGTTTTTTTTTTTTTTTTTTTTTTTTTTTTGTAAAGGAAACTTATCATCAGATTAAGTGCTTCCTTTCTTTCCTTATATGAGAATAAGACGGAACCTAAAAAGCTTGCTTTCAACTAAAACTGATATCAGAGTGCGTGACTATTCTGTGGAAATATCATACATATCAAAATTGTTGCAAAATCGAAATCATAACAACAACAGTATATATTGCATTCTATATGACAAGGGAGCGATAACAACCCGAGCGATAATATATATTTCGCACAAATCTGACTACAACGAAAACATTTTTCCTTTTATTGTTCGGGTGTGTGTGATCATTGCTGTATTGATCATTGCTTGAACCTTTTATTATTACGCAATCGTTTCATGCGATAGCTTATATCTCGCTAAAGCATTAATTTTCAAGAGAACTTTTAATGCCGTAGTATTGTCATTGTCAATTAGAAATATTCGTTTCGCTAATGCACTTACAGAGTTATAACGCAGGAAACAAAAAAAAAAATTGTTGCTAATGTAAACACCAACGTTCGCATTGGCAGTGAACGTGTTAAGGTGCATTTATTTGCTATGCATAAAAAAATGAACGAAATTTTAATTCTCCTCCCGGTGCTATGCAAGTGCGGAAATATTCAGTGAGTAAACAAACACGAAAAATGTGGAGAGGAAATACGCATATATACACGCACGCACACATAAAATGGTTACTATAAAATTTAAATATTTGAGAAATTTTCATTTTTTTATTAAAATCACCTAAATGTGTGTCGCATCGCGGCATATGCTCCTGCAGTTCAGCCATTAATACACCGATTTCGTGCGAATCCTTTTTAATGCTATTTAATTCCTCCTGATTGAAATCCGGAGTTATTTGTTTGCATAAGAGTATCCCAAATACATTACCTAAATTCGATGGACCAGCACGATTCTCTACAATGAAAGAAAAATAAAAAGAAATGCATTTAGCTCTGGCATCGAATCACGGATACCCAACACCACAAGAAAATGATGGGTGGAAATTATAAAATTTGTTTTATTACCGTTGCACGTGTCCCTTAGTGAATTGTAAGCATTTTTAAGATTATTTTTTTTAACAGTGTTTGTAAGTGTTTACTCAAAATTTGTCAACCCCTGCAAGTTCTCAGCAATAATTTTACTGTTGTTTTCAACTACGTAGCATCATGTGGCTACACATGAAGAACAGGTTTATATTATTTTAAGGTATCTGCATGCAAGTCGAATAAAAGGCAATCGATCGACAGACGACCTAAGTCTAATCATTAGATGCGTAAATATATCCGTTGTCCGTTTTTCGGGGTTTCATTTAAAGTGCTGTCCGTTATTCTCTGTAGCAATATACATAATGTATTGTTCATCTTGGCGACAGAATCTGAAAGGCAACTGGCCGTTTGAGAATATTTGCTTAAGCATCTGTTTCTTCGATTATATCCAAGCCATAGGCCGAAATAGACTCCTCAAGCAGAAGGAGGGATGTGTAGTGAAAATAGGATGCAGACTTATCCCGTTCAGCACTTCTAACCGTTTCTGCGCGAGTTTTGCAATACAAAACTAAGCCTCATCAATGCGAAATAAAATTAATCTATAAAGTTTTTTTCGCATATTGTGAACGAGTTGCGATTAGCGATCGATTCATGTTGACAGCATTCCTCAACGATGGTTTGTTGATTGACGTAAATCGACCATAACATAGTATACATAGCTAAGCTCCCTAATTGCGTTGGTAAAGGATATTCGGCTTAGAATGTAAATGCGCTGACCTACAGTATGCTCTCTTGCGTTTCGCATATCGAAGAGCAACAATTTGTTATCACTTGCGATTCGGTAGAATTGTTCTATAAAAAAAGCAGAAAAAATAAAGCTTCGCTTTTTGGCGGGCTTTTAGCACCGAACTGAATCTATTTAAAGTTTCTAGGAACCATGTTGTATATCTTTTCATAGGGAGAGCACTATGACCAAAAGAAATCACAGCCTGACAAGTGATCATAAACAAAGTAACGCCACTGAAGACTTCTTTATGCACTTGGTCTATGCTGCTTAGGGTACCCGAGCCCATACATATTCCCCAACATTAGCAAACTTATAACTTTCCAACTGCTACGATGGGTTACAAAGAATTAGGCGAATAGTGTCTCTCACAATTTCTTGATTATCAAGATCTATTCGTCGATTGTTTTCAAAAATAGAACACTAACGGGCGGATATGACTAAACCGTCTGAAAATCGTTCGTTGAAAATGTAGTTATATGTACATCACGCGATCCCTTATGTGAGTGACACAGTACAGTACGATTATTTTTATGGTGATGATGGGTAAAACAAAAACAAAAACAATAAAAAAAAAATACAAAAATTTAATATAGAAAATTGATTTATAAAATTACCATAATAGCCACTCATGTCCATAGGTATCACTTGTACTAAACGATAACTTTTGTATAATTCGCGTAGGAAAATTTGTAATAAATAGAACAGCAGTACCAGATGTGGTTGATTACCATTTGGATGTTCGTTAAGGTTAGAGCTAAAAATATCATTGAATAAAAGAGAAAAAAATTCATTTTGCTTTTCCTTTTCAAATTCAATTTCAAATAAATGGACATGCATTACATCACGTTTCCTGTCTATATAAATTTTGATAGATTACTACATTTTACGAGTATTTCTAGTTGAACGTATTCTTAAGTTGATTGTGATTCGATTGACGGTAATAAAAGTAAATATTTCAAACATGTATATACGAGGTGTGTTCAAAAAAAAAAAAACAAAAAAAAAACAAAAGCTGGTGACTTTTCCCCCAAAAGTAATCAAGCAACAGATGTAATATATACTTATGCCAACGCTTTTTCCAATCTTCGACACACTTCTGATAGAAGCCTTTCGGTATGGCCATTGCGTTCTTCGAGTGCTGCGATCTTTATGTTCTTAATCGTGGCAAAACTCCTTTGTTTGATGGATCTTTTCAGTTTAGGAACACGAAAAAATATCGCACGAAGCCAACTCCGATGAATGGGGTGGCTGAGACATGATTGCGGTATTATCTTTGAACAAAAAAAGCAATAACGTGTAAGCTGGCGGGATATCATAATGCAATACCTAAGATTGATGGTTCCACAAAACCGGGCGTTTTTCACTTTCAGCTTCACGCAAACGGCGCATAACTTCCTCATTGCACCACCACGCCATTGTGATTGTGTGCAGAAAAGCAAAAGGTTGACATTTGACTGCACATGGCGTTCTGCTTTCGGTCTTGAGTCCTCTGGCTGCCTCCATCGGGATGATTAGGCTTTGGTTTCGACGTGATAACCGCATATCCACGTTTCGTCACCGGTTATGACCTTTTCGAGAAAATCGGAATCGTCGTTGACGTTATTCAACAACTGTTGAGCGATGCTCATGCGACGCTTCTTTTAGTGAAAACGTAGCAATTTCTAAGCAAACTTTACTGCCACTCGTTTCCTGTGCTAAATGGCATGTGTTAATTGATCCACTATCAGGAACTTCTCTTATAGGGATTCGACAATTCTCCATAACAATTTTCTTCACTGCTTTAACGTTTTCATCGGTTGTTGATGTGCTACGACTCCAAGGTGGGCATAGTCATCGTCATTAACATCTCTCCGGTCTTCTGTGATGAGTTTGCCCCATTTGCACACATTTTTTTTTTTTTGCTCAATGCAAAGTCGGCAAACGCCACGGTCTATATTTGAAGTGAGTTGAAGGGTTTAAATTTACTTTTTACATGAAATCTTTTAAAAAAAAAACAAAAAAAAAACAAACTAAAAGTGCGAAATGGCTAATAACGAATATAAGAAAAAGAAGAAGCGAATGTACATAGCCAACGGAATAGAAAAAGCAGCTTTCTTCTTGAATGCACCTCGTATATATATATACACAAACATATAATTTGTGTTTATATGTATATATTAACGAATGTAAATAAAGTAAAATTTCTCAACTAATGAAAAATACATGTCTTGGGATAAGTATGCATCAGAAACCTTGCAAATGTTATTGAGTAAATGAAGTAAAGAAACCAGGGGAACTGTAGAGAATTTCGTCTTTTAGTTAAAATTTTTATGCAAATTTTATATAAACATTTTCTCTATCATGAACACTATTGCATTTACGAATGAACATAATCATCGAGTTAGAGACGTCTGCAATGTCATGTTGACATTTTGTAACAATTTCTTATTTCTATCAAAGTGACAGGCAGGTGATAGTTAATAGTAACGAAATAGACAAAATATTCTAAAGAAGACGTCCTAAGAGTGTATGGTGAGCGCAAGGTGTCACGAATTGTAAATATTCTCATCATTTCAAATATGTATCGTTCACTCGTTTATTCCGAAATTCACTCGACAATTTGCCTTTACGAGTACCATAAAGAGACAGCAAATGTTAATGTACATTTTATTCACAAGGTTTATTACTTACATATCAAATTTAGATACTATATAGGATCTTTAGGATACGGGGAGATATTACGTTCGATGTCATAAGTTAACTTCAAAAAGTTTATTATAAATCGTTTCATTTGCCTAAAACTGTCTCTTTGAAATTGGTTCTCCTGATCGTCTATCCTTCCAGCTTCACTTCAATATTTTTGATCTGTTTCGTTTACTATAAATCGTTTCATTTGCCTTTCATTTGCTATTAATAAGAAGGAGCCACATGCTCCCAATCGTCTATCCTTCCAGCTTTTCTTCAATATTTTTGATCTGTTTCGTATATATATATACATATATATATGCGTCTGTCGCCTTAAATTCAAACTGTTTACATTTCAAATCACTTTGGTAAATACAAACAATTTCGATTGGCATTTATCAAATATTCCACATTGCTAATGACGATTTACTTCTAGTATAAATAAATATCATGGGCTCCAAAACACCAAACCATTTGCGGTAAAAGTATATAAAGTTTGTGTTTGTATTATTGTTATTATTATTATTAATTTCGCCAGAGAAGCACTAGCATCTAAGGCTATCGGCTTTTATTAAAAACTCTAGCGCACTTGAGATTCGAACCCACGACCATTGACTTGCTAGTCGAGATTCCTCGACTTTGTCTACTCAGGCGGATCAAGTGTTTGTATATATATCGGGCCTGCTCGTACGTTCACCTTGTCTCTTTTATGCCTATCAGTGAATTGTTTTGATTAACGAAATCTTTGAAATCTTGACAAACCAACGCACGGTATGAGCTAAAAATGAAATAGAAAATAGACTTGATTAGCCCATTTACACAGTCGCTGTCCTCATATCTGGCTGGCCTAAGGCGACAATTGTCTCCTCTTACGGTGGATGAATAGACGACTTTCGCAAGTTATATACAATGTATGTGCGTTTTAGCAACAGTAAGAATGTATTTATATGTGAAATAACTGTGAATACATACATATATGTTTTTTTTTGATAAGTTTTTATACATTGGCAAAATAATTAATTATGTAGATACTTTTATACATAATAATAATATAATAATTGAATTAAATAATAATAGTTGAGGATAAATGACATAATACATCTAACAGTTAATTTGTGGGTGGCAAAATGAGGGGTATCCGATTTTGCACATCCTAATTAATGCTTGAGATTTCGGGTAAATGGAACGGGCCAATTGCAGCCACCAATCTCAGTTTGCTTGCTAAGAGATTTTACCTTCAATCTCCGATGAGTGGATAAAAATAACAAGTCATCTTAAAATTTTACTAAATTCGCTCATTAGCGAGGTTTTGTTTTTTTTTCTTTGCCTTTAATTGCGTCTATATTTCATGGCCGACAGATAAAGAAGATAACTAGGCATATAAATATCTGTATCTGTGAAGTACTCAAAGTACAATCAAAACAAGGCAAAGACCTATTTACGTAAACACATGACTTGGATGTACATGAAAAAAAAAAACATTTTCGCAAGCACTTGAAATTTACTATTTTCTTTTATGTATGTTTACATTTAGAACATTGTACGTAAAGAAGGCAAAAATGTTAGTTACGTTTAAAATTCCTTCCGTTATGCTTAAAGATTTCTTAGTTCGTAATCTCGCTATTGTTTACATTGCTTGTTTCTTATTTTAGTCAAAGGAGAAAAAAAATAGTATTGTTTTTCAAAAGTTCGCAGTTTGCTTAAAAACATAAATAAAGTGTACGCACATACGCACATACGCGTAAAACAGTTTCTATTAATGGCACATAGAAAATAAAAAAAGCAAGTAAGGGAATTGTGTTAGAACGTGACCGAATCTTTTACACCCATCATCGTGATCTTAAAAAAAAAAAGTAAATAAATAAATTTCCATTCTTTATAGCATTGAGTATCCAGGGTTGATTTTTCCCATTTTTAGAATAAAAGTGAAAATTCATATGATGTATGTGTTATATATTCTTTAGGAATAACAAGCAAAAAACCGCAAAAAAATGAAATTCAATGTTTTTGCTATATAGACATGTGGGCGTCATAGAGGCGTTATTCCAAAACTTTGGGCCATTTTCAAATTCTTTTGCATGTTCTTATGCGATATCTTCGTTTTTGCGAACGCAGACGGGCGGACCGACAATCCGAGTGTAATGGACGCACCTGTCTACTTACATTCCGAACTTGAAATTGGCTAAGAATTTATATACTTAAGGGAGTGTTGCTGGTAAAGGTTGCTTCCGAGATAACGCTGTTTTAAGGATAATCTGAAAAATGCGAACAAAAGGAATGCAAAAGTTTAGGAGCCAGGTTATAGGTCCTTTCGAAAAATTAAGTTTTTGGTCATACAGCCTAAATTACTTTTTCCCATTTGTTGGCAATCCAAGAACCATAACATTATCACATCTAAACATTGCCCCTGATTCTCTTTTTTTCGAAGGGCTTATCCTCGAATATGCCGATTTTGATAGATCTCGTCTTTTACACTTTGTTTGTGGTGAAACGATTGGTAAAGCGATAAGAAGATGCCTACCCCCCGTTGCCGAGTCCATAATTAACAGCAAAATGTTCATTAAACACTTCCACTTTCGTGGCCGAATCACTGGTTCGTCTCAAATTGCTCTCAGTCTCTCACGAAGCAATGGCCGTCTTAATGAAGTTATTCTACTGACCGTTCTTGGAAAATGCTTGTAAAGGAAAACAAACACTTTTCAAAGGTATCTGTTACAGGTAATAGGTTGGCAGGGATCTTTTCGAAATGGGTTTTTTCGTTCTATGTAAAGAATGCTGTGCACATCGTACAAATCGCTTCGTTCACATTACTGAGGCATAATAAGTTGGAAAGGTTTTGTAAAAAATAATCTCCGCACACTTTTTAGTTACGTAATGAGGCAAAAATATAAATATCACAATAATTGTCACAACATGCACGTCAATATATTAAAGGCGATCAATACGATCACTTCCATTGTAAGAGAACATGATTTAAAAGCAATGAAAATATTCGCAGTTTGAACTGACTTTCAAGACTGCCAGGTAAGCTAGGCTTCATTTTATAATTTTTGTGCCTTGAGACCTATTTTGACCCGACTGTTCGAATTC